CGCGGACTGGGGCGCGAAGGGATGCGAGGGCTCCCGCGGACACCCCAGGGCTTTTCTCTTCTCTTACCCCTTTATGGCCTATCAAACAGCGCGGGAGATCTTAAACTGTGTCTGTTTACAGCAAACTCTAGAAACGTAAGCCCCATTGGAAAATTGCAGCACATAGTAGAAGCGTTAGTCTTCTTTGGGGGTGTTTTGAATGTTACTTGACAGTTTTTTTTCTTTGCAGAAATAGTAGAATTTCAGAAAATAGTGGGTAGCTTAATTGAACTCGTTGATCAACTGGCAAAAGCTGCTGAAAGCGAGAAGATGAAGGTACCGTGCGATTAATTACTGCCTGGTCGCGTGCTCTGCTCCATACTGTGCCTGAAAAAACGGATCTCTCCCTTCCTCCTCTTACAGCAAAAGCAATCTTTTTCTGTCAGCCTCGTACAGGCATTTCCGTGGTAGTTAACATCTGTCTGTCTGCGATATGAAAGCACGGGGCTTTTTAATTGATATTAATTGGAAAAAAAGGCTTTTCTCGGCACACTCGGAGTGTCACATCACTCCTGCATTCAACAGCCCTGCTGTTGCTGCTCATCTGTATAATTGCACACAAATAGAACGTGGTTTTTAGTCACTCCTCCTGCAGGTAGAGCTCTGTCCTCGAGTGGCACGAGAGGCTCTGTGAGGAGGAGGAGGAGGAAGAAGGGCTTTCTAAAGACCAGATCAGTGAATAGCTCTATAACTACCTTTGAAATTTCCTTTATGTACTTCTTTATCGCTAGCATGGCCGAAACACTTCAAAAATCAACCTGCTTGTAGTGAAAGGGGTTAAAAAAAATAAACCTGCCAGTACAACCTGACCAACTGTCCTGTTTTGACAGGCCATCGGTGCACGAAATTTGCTGAAGTCTATAGCAAAGCAGAGGGAAGCTCAGGAACAGCAACTTCAGGCTTTAATAGCTGAGAAAAAGGTGCAGCTGGAAAGGTAAGTTTTTCTGCTGTGTATTTCTGGGGCACTGTAGGCTGGGGAGTCGATCTCGCCGTCTGCGTGGCTGCAGGGCGCTGGCCGAGCTTGTTGAAGCGGTGCCTGCGCAGCGAAGGCGCGTCCTGCACAGAGCACGTGTGGGGCCACGCAGAGCACGCGGGGCGCGGG